AGGGTTCAACAGTTTCCTAATGTCCAGTGACAATTCTGTCTTTGCCCCAGAACATACGAAAATATACCAAGACATGATACATCCATTGAGCCATTATTTCATTGATTCATCACATAACACGTATGTTAGTATAAACACTTGGATTTAAGGTCTTTTTCCGTCATGAAATCATCGTTTAATCAAAACATTTATGATATATATTTGTCATTCAGGTATCTTCTTGGACACCAATTAACCGGGGAATCTTCAATTGAAGGTTACATACGTGTTTTGCAACGGGGCTGCCGTTGCGTGGAAAGTATGATTGTGTTGACGGCATTCATCCATGCATCCACATACATGCGCATTGACCTATGTTTGTAACTAAACTTTTCCCCATTAGTTGATTGCTGGGATGGACCAGATGGTCGTCCTGTGGTTACGCACGGGCACACTTGGTAATTAAACTTATCTTTGAGCGCTGATCTGTGGTCAATCGTGGTAACCATCTAAAAATCGTTGGATGTATGTTATCACTATTCTTAGGACATCGAAAATCCTATTTAAGGATGTCATATCGGCCATTCGCACCTATGCGTTTAAAGCCAGCCCTTACCCACTGATACTATCGCTGGAGGTTCATTGCAGCATAGAACAACAAGATAATATGTCCACGATTTTGCGCAATCAACTAGGCGACTATCTTGTTACCGGGTTTTTATCGGAAAATGAGATGGCACTACCTAGTCCAACAGAGTTGATGTACAAGATTTTGTTGAAGGTGTGTATTATTATCGACAACATTGTACCATCGACAAATTTTTTTGTACCATTATCAAGCTAGAATTTAATGGTTCGTGAATGAATGGGTGATTCAATAACTTCATATAACCAGGGAAAGAACATCCCACCTGATGTATCGGACGATTATCTATTCGATTCTTCCACAGACACGGAATCAGCCACAGATACAGAATCAGACGCGGAATCTTCCAAGGGTTTTTTTTCTTTTACCAAAACATATTGTTTGAATCTTGCGTTCATATGCATTCGACCTCAGACATTTTTGATGTCAATTTAGACGCCAACAAGAAAAAGAATATAAAAAAGAAAAAAAAGAAAAAACTTACGGTCGCCAAATCTCTTTCAGACATGGTGGTTTATTGTTCCGCAATAAAGTTCAAAGGGTTCAAATACTGTCGTGGTAACTACATAATGAACAGTATAAGGACGTGATGACTCATTTATTTAGAGAATGCGTGTTGACACCGTGAATTACATCTCCCCATTAATACAGAAAACTCATCACATTACCACATGTCCTCATTTACCGAGAGGGCCGCGTCGCGACTCCTTAAATCAGAAAAAAAGGATTTTATCCTTCACAACACTCGTCATTTGTCTCGTGTGTATCCATCCGGATTCCGAATAAATTCTTCAAATTTCGAGCCTCATCATCAATGGGCCGTCGGAAACCAGCTAGTAGCTTTGAATTGGCAGACCTTTGGTCAGTGAGACAGTGTTTCGGATTCTAAAGTCAAAAAAAAAAAAAAATTTTTTTTGATCTACAATTTAATCTATTTGTTTCTTTTTAGATCTTGGCATGCAAATCAACCAGGCCATGTTTGCTGTGAACGGCAGATGCGGTTACGTACTTAAGCCGGAGAGTTTGCGTAATCCTGAAATGATCGCTCGATCTGCGACGCTACGGCGATCTCCGCGAAATTTGACCATCGAAGTATGTCGACTGCTGAAAAAAAAATTTTTTTTTTTTTTCTTGTCAATATATTATGCTCATTCGATCAACGAAAAACATAGATCATTTCCGCCCAACAGCTTCCCAGACCAAAAGACGCAGTCAAGGGTGAAGTCATTGATCCATTCGTTGAAGTGGAACTATTGGTCCCAGGAGTTGACGCCGTAAAAAAAAGAACGAGTACAATCACCGACAACGGGTTTAATCCAACGTGGAAGGAGACTCTGAGATTTTCGATTGACTTTGAAGAGACAAGCTTGGTTTTTTTACGGTACATAACTTCATGATACCCGTTTGTTGACAACCACGCTAATTTAATCTCATGTCTTACATAATTGACGCAATTAACCTACTAACTAGATTCATCGTGTGGGATGAAGATGCTAGAGGTACAGACTTTATCGCCTCATATTGTATCTCCGTGGCTAGTTTACAACTTGGTAAAGTTGATCTTTATATATAATTTGTTTCCCTCATTACGAGTAATAACAACCTTTATTAATAGGTTATCGCCATGTTCCACTCAACGATTTTAATGGTGAACAATACCTCTTTACAACTTTGTATATCCGATCTTCAATTGATGATGAGAATGGAGCAAAAATTAATCCACCACACTCGCACATCTTTAAATAATGAGGACCCTTTTTATTGATTAAACTATAGAATACTTATTTTCGATTAAGGATCTGTCATTTAACCTAATTAAGTCGAATATCATGCGTCTATATTAGTCGAAGCTTTCGCGAATCTCAAATGAATGCTTACATGCATTCAACCTTATAGAAATATTGCTTTATCTCGTCAATTGTAATTTAAGCAAGCAACCGTGATTCATTTGTTTATGACCAGTTAAGTGTATTATTAAATCTTCTTTTTTTTTTTTTCTTTAACTGTTCGTTTATCGAGAATCACGCGTCGAATTCAAATTAAATAAATTTTTTACAGTTTTAAATTTATAAATGAAATTAAATAAATTTATTGCTTTTAACTTAAATATTATTGTAAAATTATGATTAAAAATATATTAATTAATCAATAATGTAAATTTTGTTTAATAAGATAATGAATTTTTAATAGAATGTTTAATGCATACATGTGACAAAATTGAATTCAAAAATCATACAAGAATTTTATTAAATCAAAAAGTTTATAGTTATAATATTAACAAACTTTAAATAATTAGAAATTGTATTTAATTTAGAATTCTATGATCAATTAAATTTTCTTTATGGTAATGTATTATACTGTATATACAGTATATACACTGTATATCAAAGTACAAAAAAAAAAATTATTGTATTAAAATAAGTTTATTATTTATAAATAAATATTTAAAAAATTTTAATCTTTTTTTTTAAAAATAATTTATTAAATTTTTAATTAATTTTTATATATAATGTTTATTTAAGATATAAAATATAGATATATTAATATTGAATTCAATTACTATTATTATCAATCATAAGTTGACAGTGGTATTTCATTAATTTAACAAAATAGCTAAAGTATCAATTGGAATTTTTTGCTATTTTTTAATTATAAAATACTCTAATTTATCAAATTTAAAATAATTGCTTTTTCTATACTATTCTTAATAATTTTTTATAAATTTTTTATAAAAATAAAGTTGAAATTATTGATTAACTAATTAATAGTTTAAAAAAAATCTTATTAACAAATTCTTTAACAATTTGGATTATATATAATATTTTGGATTATTATTCTATTAAAATCTTTATTACTTATTAAGAATTTTTTATTTATTTTTTTTATTTATTTTTTTTAACTCAACTAATTAGGTCTTGCCTAACATGCTTTATTTAGTTTACATATGTATTTCTTTTACAAGAGTTACTATCTATAAATTATTCTAGATTATACATGTGGTGGAATTGAATTCGGACATTTTTCAAAAACCGTATTATGGTCGAATTACTAAGTAACATATAGTAAATAATTGGAATTCGTATTTAATTCGGAATCGTATTGTCAATCAAATTTCCTTTTATAGTAATACGACCACATGTATGTTCTAGATGTATGTTAGACTATATCGAATTTCTTCCATATTGGCTTGTTGCTATTGACCTGTCCTACTGATACATATCAAGGCTAACGTGCCAAGGCTCCGTTAGTATTGCTATTATATAAATAGAAAAAATAGAAGTTAAAATTAATAATATTGTTTTCCTGATTCAGTCAGCTCTCTAAAAACTTTCGCTGCATATTTGATATCTCCTCCTGTCTATCCAATACTCCTTGTTGGTTGGGTTGTGTGGTGGATCGGTTATCTTGTAAGTGCCTTCTGTTCTTGCTTCTCTTGTCTATCCTACTAATTCTTTCACTCTTTTCCTATTGCTGAAAGCGTTTACACCTTTATATCCATAGCTTTTGTAATGCTTCTGTCATTCTACCTGTTGTTTTCTTCAATATGTCTTTAGTTCTTGTTCCATTTGCTTGTTTTATGAGTGAGATTAGATCTTTGCTAAAAATACCTTTGGTTATATACAGTAGGCGTTATAAATATTCAGAATTTTTTATGATAAGTAAAAAAAATTTTTTTTTTTATTAATTATCATTGAAACTTTATATATACATAGTCAAATATGATTACTAATTAAAAAAAATTCTTTTAATTATCTAGCTTCCTCCTCTCTTAATCAATCACCTCTAAAACACGATTTTCTATACACGTCGCTAATGTAAGAAATAGGTCTTTATCTAATTCGTCCCACACCCGATAGATAATTTGCTGAAAAATATTATTCGAAAGATTTTTTTTTTTTATTAGACATAAGTTTGATTCTTTTTCAACCTTGCCCTTAAGTATTGCCCATAAATTCTCGATTGGGTTTAGGTCAGGTGAATAGACAGGCCAATCAAAAATTCAGATGCCTTGGTCTTCAAGGAGACAATGTGTTTTTTTTTAATTATGAACAGGAGAATTATCCTGTTAAAAATAAAATCTGTGGTGAGCTAACCTAGAAAATTAAAAAAAAAAATGAGTTTCAAGAATTTCTTGATATTTAGTAGAATTAAAATTTTCTGTAAATAAAACTAGTGCGATCGGGCCTTGTGCCAAAAATGCACCCCAAGTATGAACTTTGTAGGGATGTTTCACCATACTTCAGTATGGTCGCAACTCCCTACAATGATATCTTACTAACTGTGTATTTCTAAACATCTGAAAGGTCATTTCATCAGAAAAAATCGTGTGGTGCCAATCATAATCAATATAATCTTGAGCCCATTCAAGATGAGCGGCGACATGGTGAGGCTGGAGAAGAGGAACGGTAACTGGACGACAAATGACAAACTGAAGGGCTTGTTTTAATATACATTGAATGGTACGAACAGAAACCTTCAGGTAGGGATTTTTGAGAACAAGTCTTTCGATTATTTCAGTTGCAGTAGCAGCTTTATTGGTCTGCACGATCCGACCAAGGTGACGAAGTTGTGGGGGTGTGAGAATTGGGGGTCTTTCAGGTATAGGAAGTGGTATAACGAAAGATCTTTTTTTAATTCGATTGATTATATCATATACTGTGAACTTTGGGTAACCTGTTATATGAATTATTTCTGCAGGTTTTTGGACATTATCTGCCCAAAGCTGACTTACGACTGTTCTTTGCGTTTTGGGCTTCGATAAAGATAACATTTATGTCGATTTTTTTTTTAATAGCTATAAAAAAATTTTTTTTTAAATACAAGTTATATAAACATATTCTTACTTTAATTAAAATTTATGTTATATAGGTTGTTGTTTATAAAATGGTGCGTAACATAACTTTAAATGTGCTAGATCAAAATTCTGGATATTTATGATGCCTACTGTACCTGAGATTTCTTTCTGAGTTGGTTACTATCTCTTCAAGCTGGCTTTACCAATTGTTTCTATTTCTTTTGTCTTGTATTCTGCTTGAAATTTCCTCTTTTAGAATTCTGAGAAATTTTGATCTAACTTAGTTTGTGTAGTGTTCTTTAAATATGTGTTCAGTGATTTCCTGTTGAATGCATCAGGGTTATTTTCCATTTTTATAGAGATCTGGTTTCCTATTATACAACTTGTCTTTTGTTGGCAATTCATAATTGAGAAGTTTGTATCTAAAGGCTTTAATGTTATGATTCTGTTGATTAGTTTCGAAGCTGGTAATTTTTGATAGTAACAAACTGGCCCATGTTCTTTTCCAGTCTATCTTTCTTTTATCACCTGTTCTCAATCATGCTTTATGTCTTCTTTGTTTGGCCCATGTGCTGATCCATTTGCTGTTTTGCCATTGTTTCATAAATCCACTGGTGTTAATATTTAGGTCTTCTTTGTTCCATTGCAGGGTGCAGATCAGGCTATCGATATGTTGGCTATCGATTTCAACCAACCATTCATATCCTAGCTCTCTTCCTTTCTTTGCTAACGCATTTGCTCTGTCATTGTTGTTATTTCCTGCATGAGCCCTGATTTTTCTGAACTCTGTTATTACTTTTCTGGATTGAATTGTATCTATGATGAGTGTTGTTATGAGGAGATTTGTTGCTTTCGCCAGTCGCTACTTTCTGGGGAGCTTGGATAGTATTGCATGTATTGCACTTTGGCTGTCTGTATATATTGTTGCAGCTGTATTTGTGTTTATAATTGCCAGTGCTGTTAGGATTGCCAAGAGCTCTACTCTTGTAAATAATGAAAACCCTTCGCATCTGCCTTTGAACTCCACTTGTGATTGTGTTTCTTGGTTAATGATGATCCCACCTATACCCATTTTGATTTGCCTGTTTCTATATTTGTCCAGTGAGCCATCTGTGTAAATGTCTACTATTTTCCAGTTCTGAATAGTTTTTTTAATTTCTTTGAGTTCTTCTTTGATTCTATATTGTAGTTTGAGTTTTTCCAGACCCTCAGTGTTGGTTGTCCCATCCTTTGTATTATCAATTTTGATTTGTAGAGTGTCCAATTTTTCTGATGTCATGTGGCTCCAGTTGTGAATTTGCCTAATTGAGTTTGGTGATACTTGAACTCAGGCGAGATTGCCTATTATAGGATTGTATGGCTTTGAGCTGTTCTTTGTTTTTCTTATTGAAATAGTGATTGCTTCTTTTGTGTTGATTTCCCTGATGCATTTGTTTGGCTTTCCTTGTGTATCCATTATACATTCACTACATCTTTCAATAAGGAAGTCTCCTAATATCTGTATGAAGTATTGGGTCTTGAATATATCATTAACTACTTTGACTCGTTTGTTAACCTTACCTATGTAGATGTTATGATCGATAATCGTAGATATATATCTGTGTTGTTGAATGCTACTCTGGTTGGTTGGCTAGATTACATGTGGCAAAGGTGTTTATAGCAGTTTTTGGGTAGTAGTCTTTATTCCCTTGGAACCAGTGGATGATTTCTTCAAATCAACAGGGCTTCCGTCCTATGTATTTTGCTTCCAATCGGGTTTTAAGGTGTGTTCACGTGATGCAGTGTGAGCTTGTGGTATTGGTCACTTGTTCAACAAAGATAAAATTGTGTTTCCTCAGGTTGTTTCTGTTTTTGTTATATTATGATTTAGGCATGAAGTCCTCCAGGAGAGTCCAGTTGTTCTTTGGTATAGGGGTGGTTAACTTGAATCCCTTTGTTACTTTGATGTATA